AACCGCTTTGGATACATCATTAACAAAAGTATTAGAATTTTTAACTGAAGCAAAAAATTTAAAGCAAACTGGAAACGAATTGTTTCAAACAGGAGTAAGTATAGCTGTGAAATCACTATCGTTTTATGAGACTAGTATCACAACAATCTAGTACCTCTCTATTCTTCCTCAGTCATATTTAGAAGCTTTGGAAAAATATGAAAACGTTAATAAAAATCTTGATTGTTTTCGCGACATTATAAGAGCTGAATATGGTGAAGCTTTAGATGTCGTATTTGGAAATACTAATAGCAGCGGCGGCCTAATAGGTACAACCAATAAGACCGAAAGATTCATTATACAACATACGCATGTAGCTTAGGATCTCCGAAGGACCACATGTTTAAATTGTGCAGCTTGTTATATTAAACTGAATAAAAGTGAAGAAGCATTAGGTTATGTAGAACCGGTGAGTGAGTTAATCTTTACTTTTAAACTTGTAATTGAATCTATCTGTTTTTAAGATTTTACAAGAAAATCCAAATCATTCAAAAGCACTATTTCGACGTGGACAAGCACTTCTAATGCTTAATATGTTCGAATTCGCTAAAGCAGGTACTTCCATCATACCTCAGACTTAAAGGTATAGAAGAAGCAGTCTACTTCTTTCAGATTTGGAAAAGGTTCAACAACAAGTGCCGAATGATGAAAGTGTTAAAACAGACCTACAGAAACTAAAGAAGAAATATAATGTGATGCTTCAGTTAGCTTTAACTGATTATGCAAAAGTTAAAAAAAGTAAGTTACAGAGATGGGATCGGTTCGGTTTGGTTCGATTCGAGAAACTTCTTACTCATTGACAGGCTCGGTTCAATTTTCAGCTACTTTTTGTTTAGAAATTGAAAAAGAACATCTGAAAAAGTGTTATTGCGCGAAAGACAGAGGACGTTCTTAATTTAGTCAGTTTTACATTCGTCTGATTGAACTCTCATATATACCAATGATAAACTCGTAGCTTCTCAAAAGAGATACATTATATATTCTCATAAGAGATATAAATCCAGATTTTATAATGTATCTCTTTTAATCAATTAAAAACTATCTCTTTCGAAAAAACAAATATTTTGGCAAGAAATTGCGTTTCTCAAAAGAGATACATTATCTCTTATTTCTATATTCCGAATAAAAATTCAGTTAAATAAGAGATAGAAGCAATCAAGATTATCATAAAAGGTAATTAGTACCATACTTAAAAAAAGTCATTTTGCAAAAAGAAGTTAATTTTAATCTTCGTTGTCTTCATCATCATCCGTGCTAATATCTGAATCACGAGTTTCCTTAAACTTTCAAATAATTGTATCCAAAATGCTGACAAAGTCTTTGATTCTTCTAAAGAAGAAACCGTTCGAAGTGCCGCGCTTCGACTTTTTCCGTTCATATGTCATTCGCTAGAGTATGTTGAGATAAGAGAAAGCCTAAAAGAGTTTGGGCCCATGGCTCTTTAGGGCCCGCTTTTCTGTAAAACCAGTTTTTCAGAACCTTTCTTAGTGAGGCATGATTGTAGCCCGCACATTTCTGATTAAAATGAGATATCTCCCAGCTCTTTGCGACCTTTCTTTACAAAGTTATAGAATTTACACGAAAAGCCCTAAATTAATTTCTTCTTATTTCTGTAGCTTTGAGCTGACAATAAACATTTCGGGCTTTTCGTGTAAATTCTATAACTTTGTAAAGAAAGGTTGCAAAGAGCTGGGAGATGTGTCATTTTAATCAAAAATCTGCGGGCTACAATGGCGCCTCACTAAGAAAGGTTTTGGT